GAGTGGCTTCAGGGTTTGGAGCCTGAATGATGGTGCCACTTCCTGAAGTAATATTGAAGATTTTTCAAAATGAGGATTGGGACCCCCTGCTCCAAACTTACAGCTGGAGTCCCTGAACTGCTTCATCTATTGCAGGTTCAGCAATGTCCTGACTTCCTCTCGGACCCACTGAAACCTGTGACAAATCTAGAATCCTGGGGGTCTGGGCTATTCTCTTACCAGAGGGAAAGAGGGAGAAAATAGTGATAAATTAAACTGACTCTCTCAATTCCTGAGACTCAAAATGACATCAGTTTGATCCAAGCCCCACAACTGATGCTTCAGACGTTATTGACTCTGTGTGTGGTTTCCTGGCAAACAATTGGCTGCCTACTTTAAGAGACAATATCGCTAAGTGCTTTTTTTTTCATGCAAAAGAAAGAAATAAAAAAGAGCTACCTATTTTCCTCATTCCTGCAGGTGCCCAACCCGATTGACTTGTTGGAGTGCATTTTCTGCATTCTTAATAGATAGCTAGCAGGAAATGCCTTTTATAGCCCCACTAGAGTGGCAGAGAGCAGCAAGGGGTGGATACAAAATCCCCAGCCCCTGCTTCCGCAAGCACTGAGTTGCTCTAAAGAGGGCCAGGCATCAAGACGCACCTCTGACCAGCGATAGTTTGGCATCTGCATCTTGCTCTGGCTCAGCTGATAGTCAGGAATTAAGGTAGGAGAGGCTGGGGACTTTTTTAGTTGTTTTTTGTTTGTTTGTTTGTTTGTTTGTTTGTTGTTGTTTGTTTTTTGTTTTTTGTGGAGGAGGGATGGAAATTCAAATGGAAAGGAATGGGACACGGGGGTAGGAGGGTAGGGAGCTGTGAGCATCATAAGCTTTTCTCAACGAGATACAATCTAGCCCTTTTGGGGCTTTTATTCCAAGTGATTCTTGTGACAAAGTCTCTGACTCCCTACCCCACCCCTGGTGCTGGGTACCGGTTTGCAGAAGGGTGGTAAGTGTGTCCGTGCATGCAGACTGTGGTAGAGTTGAGGCCAAACAGCTGGTATGGGATTCCATGTTAAAATATTTGTGCAGAGGATTGGGCAATATTTTGAGGTCTAGTTGAACACTTGGTGTCTGTATATTTTGTGTATTGGGGAAATTGTAAGCTAGGTGTACTTTTGTAACTTTGCTGTTCTCACTGCACAGCTGGCAAAGCTTGGCCTTGGGGTTTTGTTTGCAAGAGTATTTTACTACAAGCCAGGTACTTATACAGAAAATCTTCTCTAGGAAAGTCCCCATCCTTTCTCCTGTTTCACTGATATCCCCTCAGTTCCCGCTTTGCAGCATCCATTTCTAAGCAAGACCCATCCTGACCAATTCACTCATTAATAGAGACCCCTCACAGAAGGCTCATTGGAGGATGAAACTGCTCAAGTTTCTCCAAAGATGCACTTCTTAAAAAGATTAAGTCATGTAGCAGTTCTCTGAATTTCAACATCTCTCGAATACAGATCCTGTCCATTGCAATCCAAGTGCAGCCCAGAGAACTGTTTGTGAGCTGGATAGAGAAAAGTCACTCATGGCATTTCTTTGAAAGCATGTCAGTGTTTTGGGGAGGAACAGAGGGACAGAGGGTGTACTTGTGGTTTATTCAGGATCCCCAGTTCTAGGGTCTGAGCCCTTCAAGATGATAAGGCTGAGATGTTGACTTTCTATCTCTACCCTTTCCTGCCTGTGGCCAGGTGGCCTGTGGTCTCTTCCCAAGGAGAGTACGTGCTTTAGGGTCCTGAGGTCCCATGGGTCAAGCCAGCAGTTTCTCTTGTGGTTTCAGGGAGACTTGGCAAAGATAGAAAGCAAGTTCTGTCACGCCTTAGCCTGGAGCAGTGGCCACAGGCAGTTCGGAGATTAAGAGTCCTACAAAGGTGCTAAGCGGCTCTTGAAGGGAGAGGCTTCAAAGAGAAGCCCGGAGGGAGTACGTGAATGTTCTGCCCGCATTCTGCAGCCCGCATTCTGTAGCCCGCATTCTGTAAAAGAAACCAGATGGCTGGATTAAGGTCCTAGCTCAAGGTCCTCTAGAATTTAAAGGCCAAGCCCTCACATTTGGTAGATGGGGAGACTGAGGCCCACAAAGGGAAAAGGACTATTAGTTCCACCAGGTAGACAGTAAGGGACAATGGAAAAAGGACAGACATTGAAGCTAGAGTGACCTGGGTTTAAATCCCAACTCTGCCACTACCTAGCTGTGTGGCTGGGGCAGTTTATTCACATTCTCTAAGCCCCTATTTGCTCATCTATAAAATGGGAATAATGATAGCGACTATGAGGGTTGTAAAGGTTGGAGAAAATATGTATGTTTCTGTCACAAAGTAGGTATTCTGTAAACTGTAGCTTTAGAAAAAGTACTGCCTCCACATTTATTATTACTTTATAATTCACAACACCTTTGCTTTACTTTATTTTTTGAAATATATTTGACATTATATTATGTGACTTTACATGTTACATGAACAACATGTTAATTTGATAAATTTATATATTATATATGATTACCATGGTAGCCACAATTAACACCACTCATGTTTTATAATTATCCTTTTTAGTAGTTGGAATAATTAAGCTCTAGTCTCTAGCAGTTTTGATGATGATAATGTAGCATTGTTGTCTATATTCACTGTACTGTACACTAGATCTTAAGGGCTTATATACAACTTGTTGTAGATTTGTACCCTTAAACAACACTTGTTCCTGTTCTCTGGTCACCACCATCTTATTTTCTGTTTTTACAAGTTTGGCTTTTTAAAATTCCACATCTAAGTGATAACATGCAGTACATGTCTTTCTCTGACTTATCTCATAATGTGCTCAAGGATAATACCTTTGCTTTATTTCTACAACTCTGGGTATGTGAATATATCATGTGCTTTGTCACTGAGGAATAATTTAGCTACAGCAAAATTCACAAATCTTAAGTGCTCAATCTGATGATTTTTGACAAATGTATACATCCATGTATAATCTTCACCCTCGACAAGATGTAGGACATTCCCAGCACCCCTGAGAGTTTCCTCCTGCCTTTTCCTAATCTCTACCTTACAAGCAACTGCTTTTCTGATCTCTATAACCAGAGATTGTGCCTATTTCATGTAAGTGGAATCATATAAGGTGTTCCTTTGTGTCCATCTTTATTTCACTCAACATGTTTTTGTGATTATTCCATGATGTCGTGTGGATTGGTAGTTTGCTCCTTTTATTATTGAATAACATTCCATTGTGTGAAAATGCCACAGCTAGTTTATTTGTTCTCTTGTTGACAGAGATTGGGTTGTTTTCACTTTGGGGCTATTTAAATAAAGTCACTATGAACATTCACATACAAGTCTTTGTGTGGACATATATCTGCACTTCTTTTGGTTATATGTACCTAGAAGTGGGATTGCTGGGTCATGTAGTATGGGTATGTTTAACTTTATATAAAAAACTACCAAACATTTTTTCAAAGCAGTTGTCCACATGTTTTTTGAAATAATGATACAATAAATTCATTTTTCAAGTAGTTCCTGATTATACTTAGTGTGTCTGTCAACCAGGGGGAATAGATTGATGTACTCAATCAAAGGCTTCTGTAGACAATATAGTCCGGTTATGACTGGGGCTAAAGTGATTCTGAAAGGAGAATTCTTTATAAAGTGTCCCCCGCTGACTGCCAGATTCCTTCCTAATGTCCCCATCATAATCTGTTGACACTTCTAGCAAAACCATAAAAGAATAATCTGCAGAATTCATATACTACAATCTCTTCATTTTACCCAAGAGGAATCTGAAGCCCAGAGAGGCCATGTGATTTCCCAAAAGTCAACCCCAGATCCTCTGACTCCTCTAATTGATATGATTTCCTTGCATTGTGCTGTCTCTGCATGAAATGGCATTCAGCCATTGTTTAATGAATACCTATACTGTGCTAGGTGTTAGGGTTAAAGAAATGAATAAGAAAAAGTACCATCCTAAAAGATCTCATAAACAGGACTATTCAACTATCCTCATTTCAGCATATTCACAAGAATGAATATATTAAAGATGTCTTTAGCCTGAGCACAAGAGTGGCCAATGGTAAAGAAGCAATCCGATGAGCTACTTCCCCAGTTAAAGAAAGGCCACAGCATGTCTTGATTGCCTGTTGTGTGCCATTTACTGGCCTGAGTGCAAAAGGACAGCCTCTGCCCTCAAGAAGTTCAAGGTAGAATACAATGATAGAGGCCAAGCTTAAGACAATTCAGTAAACAGTTCTTGAACATCTGCTCTATTTCAGGCCCTGATCTAGGTGCAGAGGATATGGTGGTGAGCAGAGCTGACAATCTTTCACATTTGCAAGAAGTGTGTGTGTGTGTGTGTGTGTGTGTGTGTGTGTGTGTGTGTTTTGAGATCTGCATTTGGTTCAGAATATAGCTTTACGGAGGCCTTATGACTGGAGTGGTTTGTAATTGCTAGTTTCTAAGATTGGGATGGGGTGGGTGGGTGAAGGCCACCATCATACATAGATTTTGGTATCAGGAGGAGTGGGAGAATTTGATGTGTTTAATTCTCTTGCATGGAAGTAGTCAAGATGGAAAGCAATGCTTACTATGACTATTGAAATTGTCAATACACACTGGATTGCTTAGTCAGGGAACCTCATCCCTTTTTCCAGGGGGATCATGTAGTTCTGGGAGGAGGGAGGCACTTCCCCAGAAAGCAAGTAACCTCATGATTTGGCCTCATTATTATTATTTTCTTTCATTTCCTAATGCTCTTCTAGTCATGTTGCCAGAAAATTCTTCTAATTTGTAAGAAAGGGCCCCTTCAGTTGTTTCCTAAACACTGATCAGATCAGGCTCCTCAGCTGGTCCTCAGATCAGCACAGCGTGGTTGTTGAACTTGTACTTCGTAGGAGCTAACTTCTTGCCCCCCAAGGATACTGCTCATCCAAACTATAGCCAAGCCACTTGGAAAATAGTGCCAATAATATTTCACATTTGATCTGCAGCTATCACCTGTATCACAATGGAAGAAATGAGTATGCATGCCACCCAGATGCAGAAGCCTATAAAGACTGAGTGGAATTCTCGGTGTGTCATTTTCACCTATTTTCAAGGGGACATCGGCAGCGTAGTGGATGAACACTTCTCCAGAGCTCTGAGCAATATCAAGAGCCCCCAGGAATTGAGCCCCTTCAGCCAGAGTGGAGATGTGATCCTGAAGAATGGTGAGCATGTTGTGGGGGAAGAGGCTGGAACTTCCAATCGAGGCTATCACTGAAAGATAGTTCTCTGATTCTCTTAATGCACATACACATGTATATATTTGCTGAAGGCAAGCCATATTGTCAGAAAGATGCTGCCACCCCCTTCTTAGAAGTTTAATGTGATAATGGACACTGTTTAATCAAATTAGTTCACCTATTTCACTGTTTCCTCAATTGTGTCAAGTGCTGGCTGGATTAACTACTCGGTACACAATAAGAGCATCATAACTGTTTGCTATTTTTACCTTTACCAGTATTATTATTATTACCATTATATTATTATTATTATTATTATTATTATTATTATTATTATTATTTCTACTACTGCTGGCCTCACAGGGGCAGGATGACCAAAATATTCACAATATAAAAAAAGCATGTCCCATATAGGTACACCCAGACTCCTCTCTACTAATAGTGGATGATCTGATGGTCAGGGAAGGGGCCAGAGAGAGGTAGATGGAACCTTACCACATCCCTCTTTGCACCCTTAACAGTATCAGGGGTGTCTATTGCATTAACTATTTAGTAATTATTTTTAAATATACATTCTTATATCTCAAAACAATTATTTCAAGAGCTATGTAAAAAATGTGCTCATCAAAATATCTAGGTTTGGAGAAAGCCATAAATAAGCTGGCAAGCCCTCAGTATGGCTTTTATGGACCCTGGACACTTTGCTTCATAGGCTCATTCCTCCGTAAAGATATGAAAAAGGACATTTTTTCCTAAAATGGCATAAAAGCAAATATAATCTAGGATGCATTCATTTTATATATTCATTATAATTATTATATTTATTTTTTCTTACAATTTTAAAGGCAGTTAAAATATTTTCATGGGCCCTAGACACTGTACCTGCTGTGCCTAATGGAGAAGTCACCCTGCCAGATGGATGTGATTTGATAGGGCTCTTTATCACCTTTTTGAGATGTGCAAATAGACCAGGGTCTGATTGATTTTTTAAAAATATGTTTTTATAGATTTTTAGAGAGAGAGGAAGGGAGAGGGAGAGAGAGAGAAACATCTGGCCCTGATCTGTCACCTTTTGGTGCATGGGATGATGCTCAACCAACTGAGCTACACCAGCCAGGGCAGGCCTGATTGATTTAAGAGCTCTTCATTGCAGTTGCTGAGCGCACATTAATGCCTTGCTCCCACTGGAAGATGTACATGCCTCCAAATTGGACACTTTGTGCAAAGTGGCCATGCAGGGCCTCTGCCCCCATAGGAAGAGCTCCTGTGTTTTTAGATGCCATCACTCTGGTTTTGTTCTTTGGGTTTGGACAAGGAGTTGGTATACATCTGATGTGCTTACTCACCTTTGCAGAATTTACTTTTCTCTAAGAAATTTCTTTTCCAGTCAAGAGATGTGATTTTCTTAGAGACTCTTGTGAGTTAAGTGAACATGTGGAAGGGGATGTAGTAGCAGCATATATTAAAGGAAATGCTGTAGGTCTTGTTAAAATGGGAACAAGGAGGTAGATGAAGAGGTGAGGAGGTGATGTTCAAGAGTGTTCTGAAGCCCTACCTGGTTTGGCTCAATGGATAAAGCATCGGCCTGCGGACTGAAGGGTCCCAGGTTCGATTCCGGTCAAGGGCATGTACCTTGGTTGCGGGTACATCCCCAGTAGGGGGTGTGCAGGGGGTAGCTGATCGATGTTTCTCATCAATGTTTCTAGCTCTCTATTCCTCTCCTTTCCTCTCTGTAAAAAATCAATAAAATATATATTTTTTAAAAAGAGTGTGCTGAGTACTACAGAGCAGGAGAGGGAATGATTGATCTTGAGTCATTTGGGGAATTGATAGGTGGAAACTGGGATTCAAAGGATCTATCTGGCCCCAAAGAAGGGGCAAAACCCCAGGCTCTTTATGCACAGACAAGATATTGCTAATTTGGGTTCTTTGATTTAGATCTAAATACATTGACTTGAATTCATTACAGTCATTCCTTTGAATACTGACAACTTGGTGTCTTCCTTTTCAGCCAGGGAGAGGAAACTGCCAACATATATTAAACTCCTATTGGATGCCAGGTACCAGGCTACAATTACTGCATCCACTTCAGTGGTTCATAAAGGTCAAAGATGGACAAACTGAACCTATGTTGTTAGAAGAAGATGGGTTGCTTTTGGGAATGGGGGCTAGTGACTGGATGTGGGCACGAGGAGGGCTTCTGGGATGGCGGTCACGTTCTGTTTCTTGATCTGGGTGCTCATTACTCAGTTCGTGAAAATTCCCAAGCTGTACACTTTATTTGTACATTTTTCTGCATGTGGGTTGTACTTCACAAAACCACTTTACAGTAGATTTCTATATCCTCACAGAATAGGAAACTGCAGCCCAGAGAGGGTAAATAACATGGTGCATCACACATGTGAGTGATAGACTGAAACCCAGGTCAGTCAGACTCCAGAGCCAATCTCTTGACTACTTCACTGTCCTTCCTTTGTAGACTCTGACAACACCCTGGCAAGAGAGTTAATAATGCCCATAAGAACTATAGCTAATACTGTTTACAATGGCTAACATTTACTGAGCACATACTTTCTGTGAGTGAGACCTCTTGTTAGGGGTGTCACATGATTGATCTCATTGAATCCTCATACCAACTTACTGGTTAACTCTCACTGTGTCCATTTCATGGTAAAGAAACCGAGGCTCAGAGAGTCCAGGATCCCACAGCTAGAAAGAGGCAGCCATTCACAAGCAAATCAGTTTGATTGCAGATTTTGAGCTCTTAGCCACTTTCTATATTTCACATGTTCTGTATTTCATCTCCATTTTCAGCTGGGAAAAGGAATCTGGATAAATCACCAAAACACTAGGCATCTCAGGGAAGTGATTGTGAAGTATGGTGAGGGACTGAACAGTACCCACCCCCACTCCCAGTGCCCAAGAACGGGACTGTCTCCTATAAGCTGTCCCTCTGTCTCTGGTATTATTTTTATCTTAGCTAATACAAACAATATAACGCAAAGAAGGCAGAGAGGAGAGAGTCAATGTGTGCAGTTTGGGCAGGCCAAAGTTTGGACTTTCATGGTACAAGATGTGGGTGTGTGTTCTGAGGGATCTCAGTTTCAATGTAATCATAAAGCAAGATTTGTATTAAAGGTAGAGACAGGGAGGCCAGGGGATTGTCAAGGGCGGGGGGAAAAAAAGGACACATATGTAATACCCTTTGTAATACTTTAAGCAATAAAAAAAGAAAAAAGAAAAGAGAAAATGACATTCCTATGAAATAGCCACGTGGAAATCTCACGGAGAAGAGAGTAGGCAGGAGAGGGAGCTGCTAGAAAGATAATTCCCCTTTTAGCATTCATTCTAAATGTCGCCTTGTACCAAAGACAGTTTTTAAAGAGGAAGACAACCCCAAGAATGTGCTGCTAAAGATGAGGCATTTTTCTATTTTTAAATAATTGAAAACTTAACCTGGTTGTTGTGGCTCAGTGGTTGACTGTCGACCTATGAACCAAGAGGACACGATTTGATTCCCGTCAGGGCACATGCCCAGGTTGCAGGCTTCATCCCCAGTGGGGGCATGCAAGAGGCAACCGATCAATGATTCTCTCTCATCATTGATGTTTCTATCTCTCTCTCCCTCTCCCTTCCAAAAAAATAAATAAATAAAGGTAGGGACAGAGAGAGGGAAAGAAGGAAAGAAGAAAGTATGGGTGGAAGGGAATCAGGCATTTATGTGTTGGTCTTATCATAATTATGACCCAGAGTCACTGAGTCAAGAGGTTTTTTTAAGTTTTTACTTTAAAGTAACTTTTTCTAACCACAAAAATAATGTGTTAATTTTTGAAGAATTTAGAAAACACGGGTAAGCAATCAGGGCTCAAAACCACGTGTGCATCTATGCACACATACTAAGTTTTACAGCATAACATTATTTTGCACAAAATGGGTTGTAACTTTTTTTAATCGACAATAGTCATATATCTCTCTCTATGCCATTATATGTTCTACTACAACATCAAGAATATCCTCCTTATAGACATACCGAATCTATTAAAAGTTTTAGACATTTAGGTTATTGCCAATCTTTAACTGTATTATGTCACTTTGAATCATTGTAGCTAAATTTATACATGCATCATTGATTATATCCTTAAAATAAATTGCTGTAAGTGCAATGATTGGGTCAAAGGGTACACACAAATTTTAGGGTTTTGACATGTACTGACAAAGCGCTCCCTAGAAGTGTTATGCCCATCTGCCACCCATCCAACCCTAGTAGTGTGGGGAAATGCCCATCTCACAGTACTCTTTGCAATGTTGGAGAGGCATAGCCAGTAAGAGCATGAGGTTTGGAATCAGACAGATTTATCACTTGCTAACTGTGTGAATTAGGCAAATTATTTTAACCTCTCTGAGTCTCTATTTTCTCATCTGGGTTACTACATAAGACCATGTATGCAGAATGTTAAGCAAAGTGTCTGCTCCATAGTAAGTGCTCAATAAAGAAAAGCTTTTCTAGATTTATAGTTGTTCCTGCCCATCTCTGACATAGTCTTCCCTGGGAATGGACACATACTGAGCACAGGCTTCTGAAATCTCTTTTAGAGCCAGTATCTATTCGATCCTCCACATCAGTGATTCCAAAAGTGGGCGCTACCGCCCCCCGGTGGGCGCTGCAGCGATCCAGGGAGGCGGTGATGGCCACAGGTACATTTGGGGGCGATGAGTAACTGCTATTAAAATTAAAAAAAATTAATTTCCAGGGGCTGAGTAATATTTTTTCTGGAAAGGGGGCGGTAGGCCAAATAAGTTTGGGAACCACTGCTCCACATCATCCCTGAAGTGCTGCTGCTGCGGGCTTTTTTGCTTAGTCCTTTCCTCTCTTCCCTTTTTGGCACTGAGGGTAGGAGGACACTCAGGTCTCATACATTACATTTTTGCTTTTTCCTAAGTTGATTATATGAGTGTTGCAAACTAGGAAAGAAACCTATGAATATGAGCCCAAACTGGGTTTATAAACCAAAATAATGATTAACAATAATAGCAACAGCTATCACTATTCAGGACCTATTATGTACCAGGAACTGTGCCACATCCTTTTAAATGGATTGTCTCATTTAATTTCACAACAGTCCCAAAGGCTCAGAGGTTGGTGGGGACATGCTCAGTGTCACACAGCTTGGAAGGAGCAGAGCTGGGATTAGACTCCAAGCCTGTCTGACATCTGACATTGAAGTCTGTGCTCTTAACCACTTTGCATGCTGCTCTCATCAGTGTAGAAAGATTTAATGGAGAAGTATGTGTGTGTGCATATGTTTGAGAATGGGTACATGTATGTGTAAGCGTATGCGTACGTTCATTAGAATAATATTTAGTCAGGGCCTACTAAGTGCCAGGCACTGTGCAAGTTCCTGAGAATATGGTGGTGAACAAAAGAAAAATAATCTCAGTCCTCTCAAAGTTTACTGGCTAGCAGAGAAGGCTAAGAGTGAGTGAATGAATACATGAAGAAATTACAGGTTAGGATTACTGCTATGAAGGAAATAAACAGAACATAGTCACAGTCAATAGCAGGATAACAAACTCTAGATTGGAGGGTCAGGGAGATCCTTTCTGAGAGAGTGCATTCAGTGCCTAGGTCATATGTACAAGATCAGTAAGGCCAGTTCAGATGGAAACGACCCAGTTGTTGGAGGCTACACATTGTTTTAAATTTGTTCTTAGGGCATGTGGTACCCTCATTGAATACAAAGAATGGACAATGATTATACTTAGTTAGCTTAATCACTCTATTTGTGCTATACAGTGCCCTGAATTGCTACTCTCCTGCAGATAATCAGTTTTCAAAAGTAGCATCCATCCCTGGGAACAAATCTTATTATATGTTTCCTTGCTCTTGATTTCATTGAAAGAGGCCAATCATTGTAAATGATGTGAAATGTTGGGCAGAATGTCTGTGCCCCGTAGGTTAGGGCTTTTTTGCTCTTATCATCTCTATGACATCGAAAAGCTAGGGTGGTGGGTGGGAGCACTCCAGTATCACCGGGTAGACCTCTCAGATGTTTTTATCTTGTACAGAATCCAGGCAAACTGAACATTCAGAGGAGCTGAGAGAGGCACATGTGGAGGGAAAAGAGACCAGACAGCCTCTCCAGCCTTCCAATCTTCCTCTGTCTCTACACCCATGCCCCCTTCATTATCTTGGATAGTTGAGAGGTTCCAAGCTTTAAGTATCTGCTAAAAGTCTCTCCTTCTTTCCCTTTTGCTTGAATGGGAGTTGAGAACAGAGAAAACATCCATCATGAAACATCCATGTCATGAACTATCCTGGACTTCTTGAGGACTCAAATTCTGCTGCTATTTATAGGTACAATTAGAATTAGTGTTTCTGAGACCAAAGGAGTCTCCATCCTCATTAGTTAGTCCGCAAGAAGAAACTAAGTTACTGCTTGACCTTGAATGCTTTGCTTATGTAGGAAGAGGTCCAAACAACCATTTCCCTACCCCATCACTTATCACTCCAGCTTAGATCCCTACTTGGCTAATCTGCTTTGCTAACTTGGTTCAGTCTTCTAACATCCCCATGCCCCAAATTCCTCTTGAAAATGGGGTTTCAATCCCTAGTTTTGTGTAATTGATGGACACAGGCAAGTGTTACACCCCTTATAAAGTTCAGTGGAGTCTTCATAGTCTGTGTACTTAAAGGATTAGCTATAAAATAAAGCCAAACAACAGCAACAACCACACACAAATCACCTTTAATCAAGCAATCCTTCAAAAGTTTCCCTGAGGGGCTAGTTGGACAAGGATGCAAAAATGTATATACAAAGGTGTTCATCACAATGTTGTTAATAAACAAAATCGCAAATAACTGAGTTTCTCACAAATACAATGTTTGCTAGTCAAGTTACTACCTAATGATAGAATACTGTGCAGCCATTTAAAAAGCTGGTGTCGTCTCCATTCATGTCTATGGGGGATATTTGTGGTATTTTAATGATGTGAAAGCAGCCTTAAAAACAATATGTGATGTGAAAACAATGCAGCCCTGGCCAGGTAGCTCAGTTAGTTAGAATGCCATCCCAATATGCCAAGGTTGTGGTTTGATCCCCAGTCAGGGCACATATATGAATCAACCAGTGAATGCATGAATGGGTGGGACAACAAATTGATGTTTCCCTCTCTCCTCCCTTTCTCTCTCTTTCTCTTTCTAAAATCTCTCTCCTCTCTCTAAAATCAATAAATAAAAATAAAAATAATACAATGCATACATGAATAAAAACAAACCTTAGTAAGAAATATACCTAAAGGTGGACAATGGTGGTCGCTGGATATTATGATGAGTTTTTTTAATCTTTTCTACATTTCTTCACATTAAAAAATATATTATGTATTAACCAGAAAAATTAAGTTACATCCATTTTGAAAACAATAAATACACACCTAACATGTCTTCTAAATCTTTCCTTCTCAGATAGTGACATGCCTCCAAATCAGTGGCGTTTCTCTTCTCAGTGGACAAAGCCACAACCAGAAGTATCTTTTGCAAATGGCACCGTCAACTGCATCACGAATGGATTTGGTCCCATGGCTATGGATCAGTACCCAGTGCCCCTGACTGGGAGTCCCTCTGTTCAGCCTGGTGAGCTGTGGCATTTCTCCTCCCTAAACAGCGCAGGATCTCCAGAGCCAGAATATCCTCATGCCTTCTCTGCTGGGCACCTGGTTCCAGAGGCCCAGCCTAATGGGAAATATGAGTCCTTCCTAAATTTCATGCAGCAAGAGAGATGTGTAGCCTATCCTCAGCAATCTGCCATGTGGGAGAATTGCAACTCCGCCCAGGCAGCCAGAAGCACGGGAATACCCTTCAACCTGCCTTCCAGCTCAGCCCACTGTAAGTAAATGCTTGCCTCTGGTTGGTTGGGGTTGAGAATGAGTTGGCATGAGGTGGGTTGTCAAGACTAATTGCTGCTACTCTGGACATGGAGGTTTTGAGGGACAGAATGTTCTGCTTAAATGTTCCATATATCTTCACTAGGCTTCAATGACATTCACAGTTTAATGAATAAGGGTTACGTAGAGAGCCAGTCAGATGAACTTGGCCTGGAATATTCATCCAGTCTGTTGACTTGGACTTATCCTAGAAAAACGATGGGTTGCTACCTAAAATTGTAGAGTCTGTATTCACATCACTGTGAGCCACCAAATAATCCATTTGTAAAACAGAACTCGGCGCTATACCTATAAGCTAAAACTCTATTCTTCAAACAGGTTGGCAACTTGCAATGATGTCAGGCTCAGTCAAAAACAAGGGCAATATATACCAGCCATCTGCTCCACACACTAAAATTCAAAGCAACTGTAGAGGCATCCTATTGCTTCCTGGAGACCATCACAGTGCCTGTGCACTTGGCTCTTCCTGCTTGGTTTTCCTTGGAGTCTTGTTCCCTGATCATCACCCATCCCACTGAACTAAAACACTTCTTCACTTACCTACTCATTCAAAAAAATATTTAATTAGTGCCTACTAGATGAAAAAGACCCATAAAAAAGATTCCTTTCTTTGTAAAAATGTGGGGAAGAATTGGCCCCGGGGTACATTTTCACCAAAAGAGCAAACCACTCTGCTATAAGATTTGCCTTTCACATGAAATACTGAAGATATACACTGAGTGGCCAGATTATTATGACCACCTGATGTTTGTAGGCAAATTAGCTATAATTTCACGCTGAAGTTGCTAGAGGGAAGCAGGTTGTTTACCACGACAGTAGAAGTGATTTTTTCCAGAAGATATGGGTAAACAACATGATTTAACAAACTTTGAACGTGGTATATATTTGAACGTGAGTGGCCAGATTATTATGACCACCCCATCAGTACTTCGTTGGACCACCTTTTGCCTTCAATAATGTGGCGATTCTTCCTGGCATTGACTCCATGAGATGTTGAAAGGTGATGCGAGGAATCTGACACCATGCCTGATGAATAGCACTGTCCAGTTCTGTGAGATTTGATGGTTGTGGAACCAACTGCCTGATGACTCTTTTAACTTCGTCCCACAAATGCTCAATTGGATTGAGATATGGTGATTGTGGGGGCCACCTAAGCAAGGTAAAGTCTCCCTCATGTTCTTGAAATCACTCCTGCACAATACGAGCACTGTGGCATGGCGCATTGTCTTGTTGGAGGAAGCCATCTCCATTGGGATACACCATCAACATGATAGGATGAAGTTGATCAGCAACGATACTTAGATATGTTGTGCTATTCAGACGTTGTTCCACACGAATTAAAGGGCCCAAATCATGCCAGGAAAACATGCCCCAAACCATAACACTGCCCCCACCAGCTTGAAGGGTTGTACCCATGCATGTGGGGTGCATGCTTTCATGCTGTTTTTGCCAAATTCTCACTCTGCCATCTGCATGATGCAACTGGAAACATGATTCATCCAACCACGTGACTTTTTTCCAATGCTCGACTGTCCAATCCTTGTGTTCCTGTGTGAATTGGAGACGTTTTATCTTGGTAACTGCAGACAGCAAAGGTGTTCGAACAGGCCATTGGCTTCAATATCCCATACAATGCAGTGTATGGCTAATTTGCCTACAAACGTCAGGTGGTCATAATAATCTGGCCATTCACGTTCAAATATATACCACGTTCAAAGGCTGTTAAATCGTGTTGTTTACCCATATCTTCAGAAAAAAATCACTTCTACTGTCGTGGTAAACAACCTGCTTCCCTATTTATAATGGTCTGGCCCTCTAGCAACTTCAGTGTGAAATTATAGCTAATTTGCCTACAAACATCAAGTGGTCATAATAATCTGGCCACTCGGTGTGTGTGTGTGTGTGTGTGTGTGTGTGTGTGTGTGTGTTTGTGTATTAGTTGTCTGCACTCTGGGTGAATTTTCTTTTATAGTTCTCAAATCCATACATATCTGTGGTTCTAGTGTCCCATGCCTGAAATAAATTGCTAAAAGCTGCCTTTACTCTGAACTAAGTATATAGTACACAAAGAGTCTGTTCAGCATAGCCTTCCTAAGTCAGACCTTGTGTTCCATCCTAATGTTGAAAAAATTTTCCATTAAGATACCAGTCCATCACTTACAGAGTTTGATTAAAAATGTACATATTTAAAAAGAGTAAATTATAAATGTCATGATTGGGAAACCTAGGAAAATTCCCACCCGATACTCTTTGTCAAAAATCTGTTTCTACTATATTCAGAGGGAAGATTAGGCCAACTGTGTTTGTGTATATGCCAGTGTATATATACACAGCAGAGTCCTGTTTCAACAGTTGGTTAGAACACAGATGGCTTAAATTATCGCCTCCCAAACATAACTCTATAGTTCAAATCCAATTCAGCAAATACTTAGTGAGCTTCTACTATAGGCAAAACTAAAAGGCAGGCATATTCTCAAATGTTTGTCACTACAGTCTTGACTGCTGCAAAGTCTTAGCACTTTTCTGCTAATGTTGACATTAGTCATATTAATTGGTGATTGATGCTTCCGGATCTGTTCAGGAAGTTAGTGACCCTTAATCAAAAACACTGCCTAGAAGGTGGGGACAAGACTCAGGGGACCTTAAAAACAGAAGCTTTTCTGTTTTTGTAGCATCTAAGAAAATATGCCAGGTGTCCACAAACTGAGGAGCAAGTGATTTGGAGGTCCTGGGGTACAACTGAGCACTTACTAACCCAGCCCTAGGAATTTCATTTTCAATCATATTTGTTCTTTAGGTAAGAAATATTTCTGCCCAGATCGTGGATCTGCCAGTGCCAGCCTTGCAAGTGGAAGTAAGTATATGGTTCTGCTTTTGATAGTGTGTCTCTGTGTCCTGAGAACAAACTTGAGGAGAAGCTTGTAGTGTAAAAACCAAGATTTTTAACAACAGAAAAGACCCTCATTTGTATTATTTAGTATTTTCATAGTTAGAACTTGTTTCATCAGAATCTCAAAGATTCCATGCACTCGGAATCTTATAAAATTCTTGAGCATTTTCTTATTTTGACATAAATGCTACTCTATTGAGTTTTTAAAAAAATCTGAGCTGGATTTAACTGGGTTTACTGAGGTGACCCAGAAAAATGAACAAGTTCATAATATTAGCTTGCTCTGTCCCAGATGTCCAATTTTCAGTCAAGAACACAGGGCTACTCCAGAACTCTACAGTCAGGGAAAATGACACTGGAGACCAAAGGCCAGGACTATGGGCTTCACACTCAATTTGAAAGTGGTGTCAGTAGGAACTTACAAATAAGGACAATCTGGGTGGAATGACATGAGGATTTTTTTTAAAGCCAGTGTAAAGAACTTTTATTGCAATAATGAAACTTGAAACTCATATGTAGTGCAGGGGAGGTGGATGGGAAGTAGGCAGCAATAATTTCTTTCACCAAATCACTACACAGGACAACAAAGGAATAAGAGGAGGGAAAAAAGCCAGGAAACTTTCAGCTCAGCAGGGGGAGGTGAGCATCAAAAAACAGGAGATGCTGAAGCTGTGATGACCAGCATCATTTTCTTAAGACAACACTCAAAGATTTGTCATGATGGCTGGGCTTTCATTGGGTTTTAAGTGATTTGGAGGTCCTGGGGTACAACTGAGCACTTACTAACCCAGCCCTAGGAATTTCATTTTCAATCATATTTTTTCTTTACTAGGTAAGAAATATTTCTGCCCAGATCGTGGATCTGCCAGTGCCAGTCTTGCAAGTGGAAGTAAGTATATGGTTCTACAAACAGCACCTTCAATTTAAACTTTTGATTAAAGTTCTTAAAATTTAGAGAGTGGAGCCTGGATAGCTATGACATAAAAATCCTGAATATATATTAGAAAAAAACCCCACAGGATTGGGGGGGTGGAGGGAGAGCCAGGACATGAAGAAGGCTTCAGAGGTCTCTGCTGGCCCTGAGATATGGATACCTGTAGTGTCCAACATTACAGTGAAAACAATTTGCTTTTAAAAGGCAGAGGGTTTAGGGGAGAGTGGGATGGGGCAGTGGAGGCATGGGCTCTCCCCTCCTCACTTCAGTTTTGGGTAGGGCTCTTTTTAAAAAATATATATTTTGTTGATTTTTTACAGAGAGGAAGGGAGAGGGATAGAGAGTTAGAAACATGGATCAGCTGCCTCCTGCACGTCCCCTACTGGGGAGGTGCCCGCAACTAAGGTACATGCCCTTGACTGGAATTGAACCTGGGACCCTTCAGTCCGCAGGCCGGCACTCTATCCACTGAGCCAAACCAGTTAGGGCTTGGGTAGGACTCTTAATTCAACCCAAAGACATCTCTCAACTTGGAGATAATTTGGCCCTCAACAGTGCCTCAAGTCTGCTATGGCTTTGCAGGGCAGCAATAAGAATGTTTAATACATAATAGGTAAAAATTTCATCAAAAAAAAAAAGATTCTTGCATCCTCCACACACCAATTCCTAGTCTAAAGTCAACTCATTACTTGTGCAGTTAATACTTAAGTAATATGTAATTGGAAACCTAGATCCAAAAGACTGAAACTGAATCTTCACCCCAAAACAAAAAAGAGTAACTTGAGGTTTATGGCAAGTAGTTTAGGTCAACACACATACGAAGAGAAAGGGGAAGAACAAAGCTGGGTGACAGAACACATTCAGTCGGAACAGATGTTTATACAAAGTGTAGTGCAACATCAGGAAAAGCTCTGCACAGATTCGCGTGTGCGTGTTGGCGCCAGATCCCTCCATGGCACATCCAAGCACAGGGAGCTCAGGAAGTAGGCCATTCCTGTCATTCCAGTTTTAGAATTTCTACGTCAAAGAGAGTGGCATTGGGTGGGATGATGCCTTGGTGCCCAGTGGCACCATAGGCATAGTCTGGGGAGATCGTTTGGCTCTCTGACCCACACTCATGTGGGCAACCCCTTCCCAGCCTTGGATCACCTCCTGCCTGCCTAGCATAAACTTAAAGGGCTTGCTTCTGTCCTGGGAGGAATCAAATTTCTTTCCATATTCAAGCATTCCCACGTAGTGCACGAGGCAGATCTGGCCATGCTTTGGGAAGGTGCGCCCCTCTCCACCTGCACTCCCATAGCAGCGGGCGGTGGCAGGCGTGGGTTGGGTGAGCAGTGCAATGGATGTCAGCGGCTGAACCGAGAGCAGACCTGTAGACTGTGAGGCTTTGCCTCCTCCCTCTGCACGATGCCTCGACATGAGGATCTTCATGGCCTGGGTTCAAATGTGGCTTTATTACTTACTATTTCAGGAACTTGGTTCCATTTCTTAACCTCTCCATACCTCAGTTGCCTTCTTTGTAAAATGAGGATTAAAATAGTGCCCACCTCAGGGTTTCTGTGAAGATTAAATGATAATATATGTAAATGATTTGAATTTATATCCTAATGTAAATTAGCCATGGTAAGCCATGAAACACACACACACACACACACACACACACACACACACAACACACAGCATCTTGTATGCCAAAAGCTGTGCTTCATGCTGTGTTTGAGAGGAACAAAAGAAACAGCTACCACCATGGTACCTGATCTCAGGCACTTTACAGTCTAATGTGAAGTAAGTGGGGAGGCGGGGGGCAACATATAGATCTTACTAGAATGTCAGTTCCTTGAGGGCAGAGACTTTGAGGGGTGTGCCGCCATATTTACATCACCAGCACCTGCAATATTGCCTAGCACAGAGGTCAATGCATATTTTATGAATGAGTGAATGCTGGAAACAATAAAAACATTGATAAGGGAAATGGTACAAATATATCTGCCAATGTAGTTCAAATTATTTTGTTTGAAGCCCTTGTCTGAGAGTAACAAATAAACAAGCCACAAACCACCCTGAGTGATTAATTGTACATGCCCAAATGAGGAGATGGATTTAGGGCTAGTTCAAGAGCCTTAGCATGGCTGAGTCAGGTTTTGTATCAGTCTCTGCCCAAGGGAGTTAGCTCTGCTGGGCTTCTAATTAATGAAGTCAGGATTATAAAGTCTCCTAAATACTTGTTAATAATTTATACATTTTTAAATTGTATTAAATTGTAAGCCTTAGAATTATTGAAAACTTGAGATGTTAAATTGTTCTAGGCCAAAAATAATAACGACATGTATGGGTAGTGACTATGAGACAGATACCCCACACACCATCCTGCTCAATCCTCACAATAACCTCATGATAGGCATATGAGTGTATCTTAGGCACTTTACACATTAGGTTTTCAGTAAATAGGGATTGAACAAATGAATAAATATTCCCATTTTATAGATGAAAAGACTGAGTTTCAAACAGGTGAAAAGACTTGCTTTAATATCACAGCAAGCAGCAGAGGTATCTCTGCTTTCACAGTGTCAAAATATGATCAAAATCATAAATTACAATAAATAAATAATAAAAAAGAATTCCAACTTAAATCAAGTATGTACAACAGTAAAAATTAGCAACTGGTAAGATTGTTTTGTTTTTTTTTTAAATATATTTTATTGATTTTTTACAGAGAGGAAGGGAGAGAGAGATAGAGAGTTAGAAACATCGATGAGAGAGAAACATCGACCAGCTGCCTCCTGCACATCTCCCACTGGGAATGTGCCCGCAACCCAGGTACATGCCCTTGACCGGAATCGATCCTGGGACCCTTCAGTCCGCAGGCCGACGCCCTATCCACTGAGCCAAACCGGTTTCGGCACTGGTAAGATTGTTTTACTGTATATGGGTTCACTGTCTATCTGTGGCCAGGACACTATCCTAGAATAAGCAGAGGGATGTAGAAGGCTTGGAAAACATTCAAAGGAGCAATATTACCTTAGGAAAGGGGCAAGGAATGAGCTTTCATGTGGAGAGTGGTTAAGGAGAGGTGACTATTCTGCCACTTTGGCTCTGAGCAGAGGGAGGCAGAAGAGCATGACAACTGTGAAGGGGGCAACTTAGGGCTCTGAATAAAAGGATCAGGGAACACAGAAAGCCCATGATGCATGCGCTTAGTCAGTCTCCCAGTCTTGCCTGATGGTGAGAACCACAGGGAGGGAGTTTGTGAAATGCAAACTCTGCACCCTCACTTTTTGGTTTGATATATTTGGCATGGAACTCAGTTGCCTCTGTATGTTTGATTATATATTTTATATTAACTTGATTTCAAAGTGAACTGGATGAACCTTTCAGTAGGAATTTTGGTAGTTCTGAAAGATTTCCTATGTGAGGCCCCAGATAAATTTTTGTCAAAAGAAGGAAAGCAGTCTCCTCCTGTCCTTCCAAAATGGCCTAGTCCCCACATGTGGGCTGTCAGGTACCTCAGAAGCAGTGACCATGTGGAAGAGAAGAGCAATCAGCCAGAAGGGTAGTCAGATTTTCTCAAGGTGATTTAAAAACTTTGGTGCCAAGATTTTTAGTGGACTTTATTTTTTTCATTTGTAGAAATAACACTGGATGTATATAGCTTCTATGTCCACAGATAATAATAACATTGGTATTGCTATTTGCCAGACTATATATGAATAAAACTGTCTTGGTCTCTCTCCTCATAGAGTCTAGTGGGAAAGGCAACCCCTCCCCCAATAAAAGGAAAAATAACAAATTTGTAAGTTATGACTAAGTGCGGTGAAGGAACATACAAGATGTTGAAATAGGGAAAGATGGGGGCCAACTTTGGATAAAGTGGTCAAAGAAGGCTTCTTGGAGGAGGTGACATGTGAACAGAGGCCTGAAAGAAGTGAAGGAGCCAGCTTTAGGAAGAGTTGGGGTAGAGATGGAGGGAGATTGAGTAAGCTGCCCCCTGCAAAGACCCAGAAGTATGAGGGGAATGGGTGAAAGATCAGTGTGGCCAGTGTAGTGAGAAACAGAGTAACACAAAAGCAGACTGGAGAGGTAGACAGGAACCAGATGACAGAGGGTCTTATGGGTCATTTTGAGAATTTTGATTTTATATTCTAAGTGATTTGGTGAGCCCTGAAAGACGCTTATTAAATCCAATGTCCATTTAATGAGGTCACAAAAGCTGTGGTAGAGAAGATAGATTGAAGAAAGACAAGAATGAAAACAGACCAGTGTGGAGGCAAGAAGCATGAGAAGATGATAACCTGGATTGAGTGGAGATAGAAGTATATGTATTTGATATCTATTTTGGAGGTTTAGCTCTTAGGATTTGCTAATGCTCTGGATGAGAGTGGCAAGGAAAAGGGAAGAATCCAGATTAGCTCTTTGGTTTACTGTTTGAGCAAGTAGGTAGATTAGTGGTACAAAATGGATCAAATAATATCAAAATGAGGAAGACTGTAGGAGACACAACTGTGTTGTGGCCCTGTAATGTCTGAGGTGCCTATAAAGTACCCAAGTGGATATATCTTTTAAATAGTTGTATATGTAAGTGTGGAGTTCAGAAGGGAACTTAGTAAATTTTTGAGATTGTTTGGTATATAAATGACATTTAAATCCATTGAATGATCCCCTAGGAAGAGAGTGTAGATACAGAAGAAAAAAGGGCAGAGGACAGTTCTGGAATGTGTCAATATTTAGAGGTTGGGGACCCAAGAAACAAAAAAAGGATAGGACAAGGAGCAGTAAGTGTGTGAGAAGGAGAACCAGGAGAGTGTGGTATTAAAAAACTAAAAGAAGATAATTCAAAACAGAGATTGATCAACTGTATCAAAGGCTTCTGAGAGATAAAATAAGAGAAGGGCAGATAAATGTCTATTGGATGTGGCATCAGAGATTTTGATAACCTTGTTAAGGACAATTTTTGTTATGTGATATGTATAGAAGCCAGATTGGAATGGGTTGAAGAGTGAATGGGACATGAGAAAGGGGAGACAATAAGTGCCAGCAGCTTCTTAGAGAAGTTTAGCATTGAGGGGGTAAATAGAAATGAGGTAGTAGCTAAAGAGACTAGTGGGGTAGGGAGGGCTTTTTTAAAGGCAAATATTAGAACCTATTTGTATGGTAATGGGAAAGATCCAACAAAGATGAGGAGTTTGATGATGGAGTCAAATGAAGATAACTTCATGGGTGAGGTCATGGAGGAGATCTAAGGGACATAAGGAAGCATTGCCATTTGCTAGGAAGAGAGAACATTCTACTGTTGAAAGTGTACCAAAAAAATAAGGATATAGGTACAAATATATTTACACTTGTTTGTGGGGAGTCTACAAGGTACTAATCAAATGATTTATATTTTCTCCTTCAACTATGGGGCAAGATCATCAGCTAAGATTGAGAATGTGTGATATTGGGCACTGGGAAAGCAAGCCTTCTGGTAGATAGATATGAGCAGGATTTCTGAGTGCTAATCTCAAGTCTGAGATCATGAGTTTCATGTGGAAACAGTTAGCTGGGTTGTGTGATTTTCACCAGTGTTGTTACATTAGTGTAATGCACAGAGAAGGCAAATTGTGAGGCTCAGCCAGGGTTGAGGTGAGTATGCAAGTGAGTATGATGGATCAAGAAAGAGGAAAAGGAGTCTAGGGTATTACACGTGAGTGATTATCACAAGGGACCATTGTGTCTAAGCTGCACAAAGAAGGAAACAGACAGATGGAGGGTTATGGGTGGTGGAGGTTGATGGAATGGAGGATTAGATTATGTAAAAATGCAGTAATAAGACTAAGCCAATGAAATGGGAAGTGGTGGTTGGAGAGTAGATGTTTGAAATTGAGATGACAAGGGTACCACCTGTGTAGATGATGACAAAGTTTAGTATGTGACTATGGGAATGTCTGACTGAGGTGGAGTAAAGTAAAAGGTCATCAGGTATGAGGAGAATGACAAGAATCACAGAAGTGAAGTAAAATAAGAACCAATATCTACCTATAATGGAAGTGCTATTATTATGCAGTTAACAGATAGAAAAATTGAGGTTTACATAGGTTAAGTAACTTGCCCAAAGTCAAGGTGAGTAAATGCCAGAGTCAATTTTTTCTGACTTGAAAAGTCTTGGTCTTATCCAGTAAGCTTAAGCTATAGTGTGACCACAAATTCCTTTACTACAAATAAAGACATCACCTCTTTAACAAAATAATAGCTAACATTTACTGAGCATATATATGCCAAGCACTGTTCTAAGGACCTTACATGTGTTTAACTCACTTAATCCTTCCAGAATCTTAAGAGGCAGGTATCATTAGTACTCACATTTAACAAATGGGGTAAGTGGAGCTCAGATAGCCCCTAGGTTAACTTGTCCAATGTCACACAGCTAGGCAGTGGTGAGGTCAAGGTTCAAACCTGTATTCATTTAACCCCCAGAACCAGCTTCTTTCTCATCATGCTTATCTTGTTTTTCAGAAGGCCAGTCTCCAGAGAGAAGAAGAGATTTGTTCTTTTATTGAACTTCAGTTTAAAGAAAAGAATCCCTTTTTCCAAACCTGCTCATGATTTTCTACTGTGAAACCAGAGGACCTAAATACAACATGGTCCTTTTCTCTTTTTGTCACTAAAGAGCACTGAGTCTTGAGCAAGTTTCCATTCTCCCTAAAATTGTACACTTCTCTTCCTTTGCACCTATGCCCTATGGCAGGGGTTTTAAAATTTGTTAAGTGAATCCCCAGCACATAAAATCATTAGAAAAGCTATTCAGGGATGGGGAGCATGGAGGCCCACCTGCTTGCTCATCCCACCCTGCCACTGCACCACTGCTTTCCTACTTAGAAATCATAGTACGCTTACTCGCTTACTCTCTACCAGAAGGATCTTTCAAACCAAGACTGACTGTGGGGTATTCTACGAGGTTGTCCCACTTTTCCAATTGAATAGAGATACCAGGATCAGTATTAAGCTTTCAAACCTTAACCAGACTGTGATCAGCTTCACTCCTGCCTTTACCAAAATCAAAATGAAAAAAAATGGGGTGGGCAAGGTAATGGGTTGAGGCTGTCCATTCCGTGCATCCTCAAAGTCTGGAAGAAAACTGAAAAGGTCTCAGGCTGACTCTGATGAATGAAATAGTTTCACTTGGAAATTTGGATTCCTCACTTCTAAAAAAGTGATTCCTACTGGAATTGCTGAGAAATCCGAGGACTAAATTATTGGAAGTTAGTTAGCAAACTGCTTCATTCCAAGTTGGACCTAGAGTAAGTTTTGTATCCCAAGCATTTCTTAGCCACAGTTCCATGAGTTCCTGTCTGCCCTCAGTCTGAGGGTGAGGACTCTGGCATCTGATACTCCACAGGTATTCATTTGGACCTTGGCGGCACCTTGCAGCTTTCCACAGGGGCCAACCTAATTTACATAAACAACGGAACATTTCCTTTAGCTCTTTCACTGTTAGTGACATCTGGGAAAATTAACTTTTTTTCAGCACAGAACCTTTGGGGCCACCCATGTAAATAACACACAGTATCTTAGATGAACTAGAGGTGAAAGGAAAGGGTTGGTCCAAGACATAGCGGCAAGACCTCCCTGCAGATTGTTCCTAGTAAAATGACAAATTTCTCTAAACTCATTAATCTCTCTAATGTAGTAGACAACCTTGCGTCCACTGTGAGCTTGGTACTTAACATGTGACAACCCTGGAAGCCCCTGCAGTCAATGTTCCCCATTCACACTCCACTTGTTCCTGTGTACTGCGTAGAGGGTGAATAATAAAACTTTACTTTTCTGAATTGTGCTGTTCTTTTTTTTATATATATATATATTTTATTGATTTTTCACAGAGAGGAAGGGAGAGAGATAGAGAGAGTTAGAAACATCGATGAGAGAGAAACATCGACCAGCTGCCTCCCGCACATCTCCTACCGGGGATGTGCCCGCAACCCAGGTACATGCCCCTGACCGGAATCGAACCCGGGACCCTTCAGTCCGCAGGCCGACGCTCTATCCACCGAGCCAAACCGGTTTCGGCTGTGCTGTTCTTTTTTAAAAAATATATTTTTATTGATTTCAGAGAGGGAGAGAAAAATAGAAAATGATGAACAAAATAGACCCAGAGACATAGAAGCATGGAGCAGACTGATGAATCTCAGAGTGAGGGGGGTGTGTGGGGAGATTAATGGGGGAATTTATATGCATATATGCATAGCCCATGGACACAGACAATAGTGTGTTGAAGGCCTGGGAGGGGTGGGTGCAGGGTGAAGATCAGTGGAAAAAGGGGAGGCATCTGTAATATTTTCAACAATAAAGATACATTTAAAAAACATAAAGATGTGCCCCACTTTATTAAAAAGTTCAATATGTAAAAATCTTAAAAAACACACAAATATCAATGATTAGAGAGAATCATTGATTGGCTGCCTCCTGCTTGGCCTGTACTGGGGATTGAGCCCAAAACCCGGGTATGTGCCCTGACCGGGAATCAAACCATGACCTCTTGGTTCATAGGTCAATGCTCAACCACTGAGCAACACCAGCTGGGCTGGATTACACTTAATTCTAAATTCTTTCACATCCATGGTCTTATGCGAAGTTTCCAATAACCCTGGGATTGATAGTACATGTGGATACTGAGAGTCAGAGTTGATAAATGGCCTGCCAAGATCTCATAGCCAGGAGTAGTGCCAGTGCTGAAGACATGTCTGACCTCAGAGCTCTTTTCTCTCTAACACAGTGGTTCTCAACCTTGGCTGCACATTAGAATCACCTGGAAATCTTTTTAAATTCCTGATTTCTGGGCCTCATCCTCCGGAAATTCTGTTTCTTTGTTATGGGTTGAGGCCACAACATTAGTAACAAAGAAACAGAATTTCCGGAGGATAAGGCCCAGAAATCAGGATTTTAAAAAGATTCCCAGGTGATTCTAATGTGCAGCCAAGGTTGAGAACCACTGCGTCTAACATAATACTTATCAACATCAGAATGACTCTTAGATATTTTTTCTTCCATCTACTATATATTTTTTGACCACAGCTCTTGTGTGCATGAATCGACTTGGGTAGTAATACAGTAATTCTGTCTCAAGAACAGTTTTTCCAGTGTGTTACATGTTTCCTAGATTAGTTTAAAGAATAAAAAATTACCCAGTACATTTTCTCTCAAAAGTTATTTACCTTCAAGCCCAGCTGGCATGTCTCAGTGGTTTAGCATCGACCTATGAACCAGGAGGTCAGGGTTCTATTCCTGGTCAGGGCACATGCCTGGGTTGCAGGCTCAATCCCCATAGCGGGCGTACATGAGACAACCAATCAATGATTCTCATCATTGATGCCTCTCTCTCACTCTCTCTCTCTCTCTTTCTCTCTCTCTCTCTCCCCCGCACCCTTCCTCTGAAATAAATTTTTAAAAACATATATTTTAAAAAGCCATGCTCTGGTTGGGAAAATTCAGGGTGGAGGCTGATTCTAGCACTTGTTACACATAATTTATATAGATGTGTGCTTATCTTGTCTCACTCTAGAAAGACTCATCTGTATTAGAAGACAACATGTGCCATCAGTATTGAACTCTTAATATGCTATTTAGGGAAAAGAAGTGATTCCATAAAGACTGGCATCTTATGTAGCCCGGGTAATCTGATAACACTTTCCTACAGATCACTCAGTCTGGAAGCTCTTGCATAAAGCTGAAAGCAGTAATCAATTTTTCCACTTTAATAAACAGGAAAGAAAAGGTCTTTCGTCTCTGAGAGATCCTTCACATACATAGGTAAATCCCTGCCCAGATCAACTCCAACTTAAAATCCAAGATTTATTTAGCTCTGGCCGGCTTGGCTCAGTGGATAGAGCATCGGCCTGCAGACTGAAGTGTCTCAGGTTTGATTCCTGTCACAGGGGACATGCCCAGGTTGTGGGCTCTATCCCCAGTGGGGAGCATGCAGGAGGCAGCCGATCAATGATTCTCTCTCACCATTGATGTTTCTATATCTCTCTCCCTCTCCCTTTCTAAAATCAATAAAAATGTATTTAAAAAAATAAAATCCAAGATTTAGATTTCTGGCTTTATATCCATCCTTTATTTTCCTTTCCCAACTCACTTCCAAAAAGCTAACCTGAAAAGCATTTCTTTGAGCCACTTGGGCATTTTACTCTTGCAATGAAAAGTGCATACAAGATGTGTGCCACCTTTCACACACAAAGGCTAGCCCCTGTGTGCTTGCATGGCTTCATCCACACACCTAGTTGATAATCCTGTGAGAGTCTAGTTGAAGGGGGATGTGGAATTAACAGATTGATCAAGGTTTTAAAATTGAAAATGATCAAGGTTTGAAACAGGAAGGTTGGGGCCCAATCGGGTTAGAGCACATAAACCTCATTTACATCTTTCTCTACAGTTTTGAGAAACTGACAAGTGGATTGATAGACTGAGTCACCATCTGCAGGACCCCTCCCTCACACTCCTTACCACCACCTCCTAACCCCCCAAGCCCACCATTTCTGAACTTTACAGACTGGAAGAATGAGGATTGCTTTATATGGGCTGATTCACATGCTTGAAGAATTCCTGTCCTGAAAAAGAGAGAAAAAAAAGGTGACAATTTTCCTTTTCTGGTAGCAAAGACTGTCTTTAGCATTCCAAATAAAATGTTTGCGGATCCAATTGAGACCTGTGTTTAAGCATTTCCATTCTAAAAATCAGTATGACTGAAAATAAAATCATTCCTCCACAAAAATGCTAACTAGAATATAATAGTTATTTTTCTGCCATATAAACAATAACCTCTGCCCTTTTCATCATTGTTTCCCTGGCTTGACAGAATTGAAATTTTTTTTTTTTATGAAGAACATTTTTTTTAATTTTATTAAATCTTTATTGTTCAGATTACATTTGTTCCTCTTTTTTCCCCCCCATAACTCCCCTCCTCCCAGTTTCCGCCCCACCCTCCGCCCTCACTCCCCACCCACTGTCCTCATCCATTGGTGCACGATTTTTGTCCAGTCTCTTCCCGCATCTCCCATTCCCCTTCCCCCCCCAGAATAGTCAGTCCATTCCCTTTCTATGTCCCTGATTCATTATAATCACCAGTTCATTCTGTACATCAGATTATTTATTCACTTGATTCTTAGATTCACTTGTTGATAGATGCATGTTTGTTGTTCACAATTTGTATCTTTACCTTTTTCTTCTTCCTCTTCTTAAAGGATACCGTTCAGCATTTCGTCTAATACTGGTTTAGTGGTGATGAACTCCTTTAGCTTTTCCTTATCTGTGAAGCTCTTTATCTGACCTTCAATTCTGAATGATAGCTTTGCTGGATAAAGTAATCTTGGTTGTAGGTTCTTGGTATTCAGCACTTTGAATATTTCTTGCCATTCCCTTCTGGCCTGCAAAGTTTCTGTTGAGAAATCAGCTGACAGTCGTATGGGTATTCCCTTGTAGGTAATTGAGTCTCTTTCTCTTGCTGCTTTTAAGATTCTCTCTTTGTCTTTTGCTCTTGGCATTTTAATGATGATGTGTCTTGGTGTGGTCCTCTTTGGATTCCTTTTGTTTGGGGTTCTCTTCGCTTCTTGGACCTGTAAGTCCATTTCTTTCACCAGGTGGGGGAAGTTTTCTGCCATTATTTCTTGAAATAGGTTTTCAATATCTTGCTGTCTCTCATCTTCTGGCACCCCTATTATTCTGATGTTTGTACGCTTGAAGCTGTCCCAGAGGCTCCTTACACTATCTTCATATTTTCGGATTCTTTTTTCATTTTGCTTTTCCGGTTGGGTGTTTTTTGCTTCTTCGAATTTCAAATCTTTGGCTTGATTCTTGCGCTCCTCTGGTCTGCTATTGGGTATAATATTCTTTATTTCAGTCCGTGTATGCTTAATTTCTAGTTTCTTTATCGTAGCATCGAGGGTCTCATTAGTTTTTGTGAGGCTCTCCACAAGTTTATTGCAAGTCCTCAAAATTGCGTTTTTTAGCTCCATATCCTCCATTTCTGTCATGTTTTTTTGTCTCCGCATCTTTTATGCTTTCTTGGTGCACCCCCTTGTGGTCTTTGTGCGCAGTCTTGTTCTAGTTAAGCCTTGATTGTTGTAGTTAATACTAGAGGGATTTGACCACCAGGCCGACTTGCTGTGAGAATCAGCTGTGTGGAAAACTTCTGTCCTCTGGGGAGGTGCTAATCTAGCCTTTGCCTGAGGCGATCCGGCAAATGGCTCTGAGCAGGGCTTGGGCGGGGCGGGCTCAACAGGGCGGGCGGAGGGAGCAGTTATGGCTGCTCTCAGTCCCGTTCCCAGAGGCTCTGCTTCTCAGAACCCCAGCAACGGCTGCAAATCTCGGAGAGAAAGCTGCCCTCACGTTTCAACTGATGCCAGACAATTCCACTTCTCCCGTTTGAGTCTGAGTCCCTAGAGACTCGCCCGGATCTCAGAGTCTGAGACTCCCTCCTGATTGAAAACGACAACCGCGCACTCAGCCACCAGCCCGCTTTTCGCGAGCACCTCCGCACCTTGGTATTTTCCACACTGCGCCTCTTCTGAGCCTCGGTATGCTGTTGTCTTTCCTTCTAGTTGAAGAGTCTGTCCTCAGCCAGCCTTCCTGTGGTTCTGGTTGATGTCCGTTCCGTCTTTTAGTTGTATTTTTGAAGTGGTTGTTTGCGGCAGCAATCTCAGGTGTTTACCTATGCCGCCATCTTGGTCTCCCCCTCCCAGAATTGAAAATTTTTGCCAAACATTTGTATTTTCAAAATGTGAAGCAATAATGCAATGGTCTATTTAAATTCCTTTAATGTGTAAGATTTTAA